TCCAGTGCATGCAATCACAAATCAGAGGGTGTAGTCCAGTGCATGCAATCACAAATCAGAGGGTGTAGTCCAGTGTATGCAATCACGAAATTAGAGGGTGTAGCCCAGTGTATGCAATCACGAATTAGAGGGACCTGGGTGTAGCCCAGTATATGTAATCACGAATCAGAGGGTGTAGCCCAGTGAATGCATTGTGAATCAGAGGATATAGCCCAGTGTGTGTACTGGCGAATCAGAAGGTGTAGTCCAGTGTATGCATTTCTATCAAATAACTAACTTCTCCAATCAGATCATTGTTTATTTACTTCACAACAAAGTGTGGAACCCAGTGAGGCATAGCATAGGTACCTAATAACTTACCTTTCCAATCAGATCATCTTTTATGTGTACTTCAAAACCTAACTGTTTAAAAACATGATGTAAATTTCGACAGTCGATATCAGAACCTTCTCGCTTCTTCATCCCATTAGTAAATGTTTTGTTGTTTAATATAAAAGCTAGTCCCCTTGGTTTGGATTTCATTCTGTACACCTACACAACACAGAAACAATTCAAGTTTACAAATGAATAATATAATTCCGTATACTAGTAGTTGTTGAGAAGTGGTTATATACATGGAAGCCAACTGATCCCTCAGACTTGTATTCAACCAGACAAGTAGCATCTATAAGACTATAGACAGAGACAACCAATGGGGTTAACTCATTTGCATATTCCCAATCCTGTTTAGACTGGTTGTAAATGTAGTGCATTCAAATATTAGAGAAACCTACATAGATACTGAATCTGATCACAAGAAATATTCACACCAGGGTTTTTTTAAACAAGGGAACAGGGAAACAGCACCCCCTTAACCTGGGAAACAGATCCCCTGGCAATCTTAAAACTCTGATTGACCGGGGATCACATGTGGCCACAGTCTTCAACTGTGACCTGTCTGATAGTAATTTTGGCCCGAAGAAACCATAGGATACTCCATTTTAACTTAGAATTGTCAAAAACTCCACACCCTGGTAGGCAGAACCCTATCTCCCCCACTTGGTGGGCCGATGAATTGCAGTGCTCCCTCTTTGCAGTTTTTTTTCTAGAAAAACCCTGCACCCCATAAATTCTTGCCTTTCTGAATTTTGAATTAAATTCCACGCGTACAGAAAACACCACATTTGAATTTGAAACTGAACCATGCAGAAAAAGAAAATATTTTGTGAAAGTCACTTGCCACAGTGTCCCAAAGAACCAGTGAAATTTGAACAGCTATGAAATCTGACAATTGTCACTAAATTCGTTGTCTCTCGCACAATTAAAGTGGTTAACAGTGCATGTATTTCAATATCAGATCATAGCTGTGTTTTGATGTAATAAACTGCTTTTGATATATGTCAAAATATTACTTGCCTCATCCGAGTCGGTCACCTCTTTACCAGGTGCAGATGGTGTTATTGGCTTTGTGATAAGTCCAGGACCTGGTCCCGGCCAGACTGTTAAATGGAAAACAAAATCCAGTCAAATAATATTTTATAATAATATGACAGCATTAAAGTGCAAAATACCAGAAGTTACCTCGTGCTGTTTAGTTTTTACTTTATTATGATGTAATTTTCTTCTTCACCAAAGACGATGCTAAAAGTTTTTACTTCACAAATCAATTCTTGTCATAAATCATACTGCATTGAAGCTAATAAAAAATTATGTCTATTTGGTTTAGAATGTCAACAATATTATTGACAAAAATACTTAAAAATAGGCAAAACATTGGATTGTTTAAGCCAAATTTATGGCAACTCTTATTTAAATCTAAAGAAACGTATCAAGTGAAAAAGCAAATAAATAAACCAACTATTCTGGGTACTGAAATTTTCACAGAATTATTTCATTCATAAAACAAATGCCGTATTTTGCATAATTAGAAACACTTCACAAATCTTACATAAATAACACTGTATTCATGAAATGCATTTGATATATAGCATAAGAATTTAAGAACTATTTTGTATTATCTACATTGTTTATCAACATTGTATAAAATTCAAGAAACATTTTTCATTTTAAAAAACTGTACAAGTGATTGCACGTGTGAATGGAAAGGCTTGTACAAGTCAAGATTAGACAAAAACTGAAGTGTTTTGCAAAGTTGCAGACCATCTTGCTATCTAACTGTCCAGATAATTCTCAGAATGGCTGTAATTCCATTCTGGCACAATCTACAAAAATCAGTAAAAAAGTTTTGTTCTATTAAACTTTAATTTATGAATCTATCATTTATATACTATCGGTAGTTGTTCTTTCAAAATGAATCCTCAGAAACAACTTTTCCCCTCCAAGCCACTAATTTTATGACAAGAACATTTCAAATTTCAAATGATGAATTATACAATGTTGAAAATTCTAATTGCTAGATCTAATGATTTACATACTGTTTGTGTGTTTTTGACATTACACATATTTTACACATTATATTAGTGACAATATTTCTATAATAAAACAAAATCTGTTTATAATTAATAATTTCA